ATAAAATGACCCGAACAACCTCAGACCCATCATCCCCTGCACCATTTACATACTTAAACTCCTCGAGGTCTCGTCTACACCCCCTATGCTCTCACCTCAAAACGACAACAACCTCCTCGATCCCCTACAGTCCGAGGCTTCCGTCCCCCTACACTTTCCACCGAAACCGCCTTACTCAAACTCTCCAACGACCTTCTAACCACCAAAGCTAATGGCCACTACATTCAGTGCTCCTACTCCTTGACCTCTCTGCGGCCTTCGACCACACCCCCTCCTCAAAAAAACTACACTCCCTCCTCGGCCTCAGAGATTCTGCTCTCTCCTGGCTCTATCCTACCTGTCACAACACTCTTTCAGCGTTACCTATAATGCTACCACCTCCCCCTCACTCTCCCTCTCTGTTGGGGTCCCTCAAGTTCTGTCCTCGGGCCCTTCTCTTCTCCATCTACACCCCTCCCTTGCCAACTCATACACTCTCACGGCTTCAACTACCACCTCTATGCCGATGATACACAAATCTATCTCTCAACCCCCCACCTCACCCCCTCCCCGTCTCCGCCCGAATCACACACCTGTTGAGCGACATATCAGACTGGATGTCACTCCACTTCCTTAAAACTGAACCTCTCCAAGACCGAGTTTCTTGTCTTCCCCCCCAGCCCGGACACCACCCCCCCATTGACTTCTCCATCACATCCCCAACAACGCCACCATCAAAACCAAACCTCCCGCCCCGCAGGCCAGAGTACTTGGTGTCATTCTGGACTCCAACCTATCCTTCCAGCCCCAAGTCCAATCTTTTAACAAACTCGTGCAGACTCCACCTCCGCAACATCGCCAAAATCCGCACGTTCCTAACCCCAGAAACCACTAAACAGCTAATCCACTCCCTCATCATATCACGACTCGACTACTGCAACTCCCTCCTCACTGGCCTGCCTCGCCGCTGGCTATCCCCGCTTCAGTCATCCTGAATACGGCTGCCAGACTCATTCACCTTTCCAACCGCTCCATCTCCGCCACCCCCCTCTGCCAATCCCTCCACTGGCTTCCGATTGCGCAACGGATCAAATTCAAAATCCTAACACTGACGTACAAAGCTGTCCACCATACTGCCCCGAACTACATCACCAACCTAATATCCAAGTACCGCCCAACACGCACACTCCACTCCTCAAAGACCTCCTTCTATCTAGTTCCCTGGTCTCCTCCTCCCATGCCCGCCTCCAGGACTTCTCCAGGGTGTCACCCATCCCTCTGGAACTCCCTGCCCCAACCCATCAGATTATCATTTACTCTCCTCTCCTTTAGGCGCACCCTGAAAACCCATCTCTTCAGGGAAGCCTACACCACCCTCTGCTAACTTGCGACCTCCTCCACTCTTCCTACCACTCCATCCCCCACAGCTATCTCCTCCTGTACCACCATCCCCTCCCTCCTAGATTGTAAGCTCCAAAGAGCAGGGCCCTCGATCCCCTCATGTTTTGCATTGTATTGGTATTGTTCTGTCACATGTTCTGTCCCCCTTTGTAATGTACAGCGCTGAGCGAACTATTGGCGCTTTATAAATACTGTATAATAATAATAATATGGATTCTCTTTTGTTACACCCATTTCCTACCAGCTGGACATTTTATATCAGATGATGTGATTGGAGCACAGACTTTTTCATGGTGATAATAATGTGATATAACATCCTCTAACTTTGGACCCTTAAACAGAAAGTGATAATGAGGGAGGAGTCAATACCCAATGATGGTGGTCTTCAGAATCAGTCCAGTCTTCATCTTGGTTGTTCTCCCCCCATCCTCACTCTCTGACCTCTGGTGGGGCTCAGCCTTGGGCCTGCCTGGCGGTACAACAGCCCCTGCTCCCACCAAAGCCGATCTCCATCCCCCTTCCTTCAGCCCTTCTGTGGCCTGGGCCCTAAACTTGGTCAAGTTGGGGTCTGTGGCTACCTCTCTCTTAAAGGTCTCCGGTCCCAGGTCAGGGGAGTGTCTGGGTCAGGTGGGGGGTCACTCACTGAGTCCATGCGGGAGGAAGGTCCTGTGGTGGTTTCGTCTGCTGGAGGACCTCAACCTCCTTGGCTCTGGGTCACCGCCCCGACGTACTGGCATCGTAGCTCCCCTACGTCATTTCTGAGCAGAACATCCGCCGGAGGCCACCCATGACTCTGATCTGGCACTGTTGCTCCCCGAATCCATAGTCGAGGCGTACGGATGCCCTGGGAATATGATGTCTGGCTCCTCCTGCTAGCTCGATGGCGAATCCAGGGCCCGGGGTGGATGGGTTCCGTCCGGATCACTCGAGGGTCGGCGATGGTCAAGAAGGCCCCCGTATCTCAAAACCCGGTGGCGGGGTGCCCGTCCCACCCGCACGGCCTGCAGGTGGCATTGCTTCTGGGCGGGGTATGTAGCCCCCAGGGGGTGGACACCGTAGACTCCCCGAAGGTGGGTTGGCCTCTGGAGGGTCCATCCAATCGCTGGGGGGCGGGGCAGGGGTTCTTCTGCAGGATGTAGCTCCAGGTAGTGGACCAGACGTGTGAAGCGGCGGCTTCGGGAGGTTGGGCAGTTGGCTTGGAAGTGCTGCAGCTGGTTGCACCCGTAGCAGCGATGGTCCATGGGTGGCCCTGTGAACTGGGCTCTGGGTGGCGGGCCCGTGGGGTTGGCAGTGGTAGGTGGGGGGGGCCGTTTTGGCAGAGGTGGAGGCAGGATGGAGGGGTGGCCGGATGGGGGGGTGGGGCCCTTGGTGGCTCAGGGGCCCACCGTTTCCAATGTGGTTGATGGCCAGGATCTCATCAGCCAGGGCAGCGGCCTTCACGAGGGTGGTAGGGGCTCTTTCTCTTACCCATCCACGCACCTCCACCGGGCATTGGTTATAGAATTGCTCCTTCAGGAAGGCCTGAAGGATTTCTTCTGCGGAGCGGGCCTGTTCCCTCTCTAGCCACCTCCGACAGGACTGCGACATCTTGTGCGCATACATCCGATAGGACGGCACCGCATGGCAGGGAAGGTCACGGAAGCGCACCCGGTGCACTTCTGGGGTCACTGAATAATACTCCAGCACAGTCTGTTTGACCCGGGCATAATCCCGACCATCCACATAATCCAGAGTGCGGTAGGCCGCAGCTGCACCCCCTTCTAGCATACCCACGAGGTGCCGTATCCAATCCGTGCTTGGCACCTCCATGAGCTGGCCTGCTGCTCAAAGTCCTGAAAGAACCCCTCCACATCCCCGGTGGCTTCGTTGAAGGGTTTAAAGTCCTTGCGGCTGACCTGGGGAGGGGGGTAACCTGCAGCCCTGGGGCTGGAAGGGCAGCTTAGTTCACGGTGACTTCTTTGGCTCTCTCTTTTAGAGCCCTCTTGTCCTCTGCTGTGGCGTCTGACCCCAGGAGGGCCATCTCTTCCTCCACCCGAGTCAGCCAGGGGCTCTTGGGCCCTGGGTCATGGCGTGCTGGGAGGCTGGGGTTGTTCTGCTCTCCTCCCTTGCTGGGGCGTCCTGGGGAGCAGCTTCCTCAATGGCTGCGATCAGATCCTCTTTGGCTAGGCCCCTCCAGGAAAGGGACAGCTGCTCGGCCCTCTCCTGCAGATAGGCCACATTCCACTTCTTGTATTCACCGGGCCTGTTCCTGCATCTGCTGGCTTTTGCTGTCTGCCATCTCCTCAGTGTCCTGATCCCACCGCTGCCAAACAGTATGACGGAGGGTAAGTGGGACAGAACACACAAGGCAGACGGCAAAAACTTAAAGAAAAAATTTATTAAAACAGACATCAGTCACTCAATGGGGAGTAGTGCAGGGAGAGAGTCCAAAATACTTGTAATCCAGCCCCGGTGGGCAAAGTTAAAGGCTCTACAGCAATTTGTAATCCAAGAGGCAGTTCATAAGCAGTCAGATAGCACAAGGGGAGCATACACTCACGCAAAGCTGATGCGATAGTCTCAGGCAGAGCTGACAGCGTTCCAGGCAGGGCTGATGCAGCTTCTGGGGTCCCCCTTCCTCCAGTGGGCTCAGGCAGAGCCGGGGGACCACTAGAGTCCAGCTGGACCTCTCAGTGGTTGCCCAGCAGAATGGCACAACAAGAGAGACCAGCACTGGCCTCTTAAACCCCCTGAGAAGGAAGAGAGGCAAGAGGGGGGTCATTAGCAGGTGACAATGAAGAGAATGGAACTACAGTAATTTAATTTGTGGCTGTACACAGAAAGGACTGGTTGGGCAGGAAAATTAGTGGGGGGAAATACATTAATACAAAAGTAAGGCACTAATTAGGGATGTATACACTAATTGAATTTGGGACCTTTTGTGGAGGGGCGCGTTAATTACAGCTAGGGGTCTTTGGTACACAGGAGTGAATACTAATTGAAGGAAGCTCTTCCTATGGCCAGCAGGGATTAGGAACAAGGAATTAATACCTGGGACTGGCTGAGACCCATATCGTGACACCCCTCATCACTGTCCCTCCTATAAAAGACAGTTCTGGTTGTTTCCTCACTCTCTGACTAAGGTCCATGAATAAAGAAGAGACCTGGTAGGAGATCAGAGGAGCCATTTCCTAGTTCCCTTGAGGGTGGAATTGTAAGCTCCTCAGAGACCAAGCTGCCTGATGTGGGCAGAGTCCTGGTTTGGGAGAACCAATCAGCTCCTGTCTAGTAATCCTCTTTGTCTTTGTATTTTAGTCCATGGCCGGGAGATGAGGAAAACCTCCGAGGATTGTCTCACTTTGTCTCCAGACTGGAAGTAGAAGATGAGGACATCACACAGTATAGTCCAGGAGAAACCCGGCTCCCTCCAATGTCCATCCGGCACCACCCAGTGTAGATGGACCATCGGATTCCTCATATCCTGAGGAACCTCAGACTGTGTGGGACCGGGCCGGCCTTCCAACAGAGAAGAGCTTCATCTGTACTGAGTGCGGGAAGAGGTTCTGTTCTAAATCCGGTCTTAATGGGCATAAAAGATCTCACACGGGGGAGAAGCCATTTTCCTGTCCTGAGTGTGGGAAATGTTTTTCTTTGATGTTCTATCTTTCCAGTCATCAGAGATCTCACACGGGGAGAAGCCATATTCCTGTCCTGAGTGTGAGAAATGTTTTACTCAAAGATCAGCTCTTGTCAGACATCAAAGATCTCACACAGGGGAGAAGCCGTATTCCTGTCCTGAGTGTGGGAAATGTTTTTCAGTAAAGTCCCATCTTTCCAGTCATCAGAGGTCTCACACAGGGGAGAAGCCGTATTCCTGTTCTGAGTGCGGGAACTGTTTTTTTCAGTGAAGGCCAGTCTTTACACACATCAAAGATCTCACACGGGAGAGAAGCCGTATTCCTGTCCTGAGTGCGGGAAATGTTTTTCAGAGAAGTCCAGTCTTTACACACATCAAAGATCTCACACGGGGGAGAAGCCATATTCCTGTCTTGAGTGTGGGAAATGTTTTTCAGAGAACTCCAGTCTTTCCAGACATCAGAGATCTCACACGGGGGAGAAGCCATTTTCCTGTCCTGAGTGCGGGAAATGTTTTTCAGAGAAGTCCAGTCTTTACACACATCAAAGATCTCACACGGGGGAGAAGCCGTATTCCTGTCCTGAGTGCGGAATATGTTTTTCACGGAAGTCGCATCTTTCCAGACATCAGAGATCTCACACAGGGGAGAAGCCGTATTCCTGTACTGAGTGCGGGATATGTTTTTCACGGAAGTCCCATCTTTCCAGACATCAGAGATCTCACACAGGGGAGAAGCACATAGGCAGAAAGCGTCATAGCCCGAGCACCAGCATGTCCACCATAAACAAGGGAGCTGGCCCAGCACAGAACTCCTGGGAAGACTTACCTGATGCCAATTTCCTGCTCCACTTTCCATGCAGCCAGTAATGGTCCTGCTGCCATTTGTTTTATTATTGGTGTATACTCTGATCAGCAGGAATCATTTCTCCTGAAGAAGGGAGCGCTGCACCACGAAACGCGTGGAGATGGATGACGTTGCTGGATCCTCCTTATGGTGCTCAGAATTCTGTCCCACGGTGATTGTTGTCCAGGAATTGTCCATTGATGGGCTTTGTGAGAGATTTCATGGCCTTGTACACCTGCTGGGAGGGTTTTATGATTTCTACGCTGATTGGGAAGAAAACATTGGAAGATCTTTATTGATATGTTTTTCTGGAGTTCCTCTTTATAAAGTCCCATGAGTCCCATTGTGTCTGTATGAGAGATTAACCCACATTAACCCTCTCACTGCCAGAGCTGTTTCTGCATGATTTTGCACACATGGGAAAATGCAGATTTTGGTCCTGAAGATGAGATAAACCCCCAAACATCTATTCTGTGACATCAGAGGCCCTGGAGAATAAAATGGTGGTGATTGTTAAGGTGTTCCCCGTACACAGATTCCCCTTCATATCCGCCTTTATTTCCTCCTTTCCCCCATTTTCTATGTTGGGTCTTTTCTACAATACTTTGTTATAATAATGGAACACGTTGTGTATTGTATTGTACACCAATAATAATGACTCCGCCCCCACATTCCAGACAAGGGATCTTCCTGACCAATCAGATTTCTGCCTTTACTATTTCCTGATTTTTATGCTTCAATCTTGTTAAATGTAAAATTATAATAAAACATTTATTGAACAAAAACTATTGTGTGTGTCGGTGCAATGAGGGCAAACTTCAATATAGAACATTGCTCCTCGGTGACACCTCACACCCTTCAATAATGGCGCAGAGTGCGGGGGTCAGCAGTATATCATATACAGCCCACCATACAGAGTGCAGAGGGGGGCTGTAGTGTGCCCCCCCTCCTGATCCATACCAGGCCACATGTCCACCACATGGGGGTCACCTTACCAGGGGCGTGCACCTTGGCTTGTGGCTGTGGGAATCTGTGGGTGGGGGTCATGTTGGATTCTGGAAACCTCCTTTAATAACAAGGGGCCCCCATATACCGTTCCCCCATGTGAATGAGTATGGGGTATATATAGTACCCGGCAATAGCACCAGCCCAATGACAGCTCCCTAAACTGTCATCATCTACATAAGTGAAGGGACAGGGATGGTGGGACCTTATTACCCAATGTGACCAGTGACCATATTTGGTTAGTGATATCACTGCTATCCCCACCCCCTTTCTTACATGGCAGGGATTCCCAATGACATCACTGATTCCTGGGGGTGTGGCCGCTGTACCCATCCATGTCTTCCTCAGGCACCAGTGACAGCGGGAAGCTGTTATATATAGAAATGGTAGAAATGTCTCTTCTATATGTGATGATTGGCTCCTGCAAAACACGGGACTGGAACAGGCAAAGTTTGTTTTGTCATCTCATCCCTACTCTCCAACAACTAAACCCAGAGCTCTTCTCATGTGGTCATTGTATTTGTCCCTTACATTGGTGACCAATGGGAGGACCCCCTTATATTAGTGATCAGTGTAGTGGTCCCTTGCATTGGTGACCAATGGGAGAAGGATCCCCTTATATCAGTGGTCAGTGTAGTGGTCCCTTACATTGGTGACCAATGGGAGAAGGATCCCCTTATATCAGTGGTCAGTGTAGTGGTCCCTTACATTGGTGACCAATGGGAGAAATATCCCCTTACATTATTGGTCAGAGTAGTGGTCCTTTACATCGTTGACTAATGTTATCCCCTTATATCAGTGGTCAGTGTAGTGATCCCTTACAAAAGACTAGAAAGTCTAAAAAAAACTTAATGTGAACAAATCAGCAGGACCAGATGGCTCAAAGAATGTATCCAGGTCATTGTTAGACTTTATTCCTAATCTTTAGGAAAGTTTACTGACCGGAATGGTGCCAGCAGATTGGTGAAAAGCTAACATGGTACCAGTATTCAAGAAAGGGCCGAGGTACATACCTGGAAACTCCAAGCCAGTCAGCCTAACATCAATAGTTTGTAAACTATTGAGGGCTGATAACGGACCATATCCAAGAATTTGCTGATGAACATAGTATCATTAGTAGTAACCAGCATGGATTTATGGGAAAAGATCGTTCTTGCCAAACCAACTTATTAACAATCTATGAGGAGGTGAGCTGTAGGCTGGATAATGGAACACCCATCGATGTAATGTATATAGACTTTGCTGAAACATCTGACATGATACCCCATAAATGCTTAATCCACAAATTGAGGCATGTTGGTGCTGACAATAGTGTATGTACACGGATAGAAAACTGGTTACTGGGGTGCGTACAAAGGGTGGTGATAAATGTACATCTGAATGGTCTGAGTCATAAGTGGGGTACCCCAGGGCTCTGTTCTGGGTCCAATTCTGTTTAACTTGTTCATAAATGATATAGAGGTTGGTATAAATAGTTCAGTCTCAATGTTTGCTGACAATACAAAGGTAAGAAGCTCAAAACCTTCACCACAGGATACAGAAACTTTACAGGAAGACTTCAATAAAATAAAGGTGTGAACAACTACATGGCAAAGGAGGTTTCATGTAGGAAAATGTAATGTAATGTACTTGGGGACTAAAAATATGAATGCAAGCTACACGCTAGGGGATGATCCTCTGGGGGAATCGAGGATGGAGAAGGATCTGGGGGTCCTAGTGGAGCAGTAGCATGCATACCAAGGCGCAGCAGCAAGCAAGGCCAGCAGAATATCAGCATGAATTCAAAAGGGAATTTAATCCAGAGATAAAACGATAATTATCCCACTTTACAAAATGCTGGTTTGGACACATCTGGAGTATGGCGTCCAGTTCTGGTCACCAGTCCTCAGGTTGGATGTGCTGGAACTGGAGTGAGTCCATAGAAGGGCAACAAAGCTAATAAAGGGGCTGGAAGACCTCAGTTATGAGGAATGACTACAAACATGAAACATATTCTCCTTGACGAGACGCTTCAGAGGAGATATGATAATGATATAGAAATATATTTGTAACATAAATGTGGGAGTCGGGTAGTTCTGCCAGTAGCTGAGATGTGATGTGATCTGTAGAAGGATGTGATTGTAGATCTAGTTTCATTCCGTGTTATTAGAGATACAGTATTCAGTCAGAGACATATGTTCTTCAATTAGCATGTGAAAGGACAGAGCAGCTTCTAGGCCAGGAGTGACACTGAGATGCCAATAAAACTCATCCATGTAGACATGGATTTCACACCTTCCTGAATCTCAAAGAAGATGGCCTGCAGGAGACAGGGAGAAGGCTTCCAGCTTTGAATTATACCAACAGATCAGAGGAATCTATTTCATCTCTCATAAAAGCTAAAATATTAGTTGCGGAGAGATGAAAATACTTCCTTCTGATTGGACACACTGTAGGCTACATCTACATGTAAAACTGTATTTGTAGCCTCTGTAGAATTTTGCAGAACCACACAAAACGGTTATATGGCGCCTGATTGTGACAGCTGAAAAAGATCGGTACTGTCACGATCAGACTGAAGCTCTGGTGTCAGAGATCCTATCCTGGACCCAGCCATCAGAACTGTTCCTGGCCCATTCAGCTCTGGGCACTTCAGAACAGAGAATGTCCTGTGGGCTGGTACAGGAACACCCCACCAGGGTTGATTGGCCAAGGTCTAAAGTCCAGCCCACATCCATATTTCAATACATTGGGAACCCTGAGATATGGACGAGGTGATTCATACGGAGCAAGTTCCATATGACTGGCAAATCGCGGACTTTCTTTGACTTGCTCCAGTTGCAGGATAAATCTTGGTAAAACTTTTATTTCACAGTGAATAGCCAATTGTGTGTCTTTCTGTCTTTTTTTGTATTCTTTGTAACCCTCTTTCTTTGTATATATTTTATGCTCTGTCTGGATATTAACTGGTTGCCAACAAGCCACAGTACTTATACTGCAGCAGGGCGGCACCGGTGCACAAAATCACACACACACACACACATATATATATTTATATATACATACATGTGATTTTACGTCTCTGAGTAGGGGGTGTAGACGTCGTGAGGCATGTGACTACCATACCCGCACCACTGATCGTGGCCGCGGGTGTCAATCACCAAGTCCCAGCCCGTGATTACCCCCTGGTGCTCGGTGATTACCTGCTGGAGCCCGGTGATTACCAGCAAACACTGACAGGGAGGAGGGCTGCATTGTTTACAATGCAGCTCTCCTCCCTGTCAGTTTGGGCACACTGATCCAGATGGATGAGCTCAGCCATCCCGATCAGTGTGCTTACAGTGAAGCATATCCCCCCTCCCCCTAGTGAAACACTCCCGTCACACAGAAAACCCTTTGATTGCCTCCAAATGTTAACCCCTTCCTCCCCAGTGCCATTTTGCACTGATCACTGTATTGGTGTCACTGGGGATGTCAGTGACCACAAGTCAGTTCCCCCCAGTGTCAGAATGTCTGCTGCAGTCCCGCCATAAGTCGCTGATTGCCGCCATAAGTCGCTGATCACCGCCATTTTTTAGTATAAAAAAAATTCCAGTATATATGCCACCATTTGTAGATGCTATAACTTTCACGTAAACCAATTAATTTACACGGATTGGGATTTTTCTTTAGCAAAGACATAAAGCAGAATACATTTTGGCCAAAATTTATGACGAAATTTGATTTTATATGTTTTTATTGGACGTTTTATAACAAAAAGTCTAAAATGTTGTTTTTTTCTCAAAATTGTCTGTGGACAGATGCACTCTTTTATCCATCACAAAACCGCTAGCAGCACTGAATGTCCGTTCGGAAAGAACGCTGGATGTAGGACAGGCCAGTAGCTTGATGGCATATTG